ACATCACTTTTAGTTTCTCACAAAGAACAGTCTATATATTACGAAGGATTGGGTTTCGTAACGTACAAAGGACCTGGAACCAGAAACCAACATTTTACCATCGGATTTTCTTCGTATTAAAAAAACCAGCGCTTTGTTAACAGACACGTGCCCTTCGTTATTACGAAACCAAGCCCTTCGAAATACAAAGGATTTGTTTGTTTACCGAAGGTGTCAATTTTTTTTGTACGTAATAAGAACAGGTCTTTGTAAGAAACTTACAGTGACACTCAAATTTTAAAGAACACCTTTTATACAGTTAATATTTTTCGTGTCTACAGTCTGCACGTCTGTCCGCGAAGGCTCTTTTATTTAACATCCGTAAACCGCAAATGCAACACACACGCCTCAGCGCCTCATTCGGCCGGTATACAGGGACTCTGACCCCGCTCACATCGGACTCGGCGGTGGTGGTCGGGCGGAGGCGGTACGCGGCACGGCGCCCAATCTGAGGCACGCCGCCGAAAAAAACACTCGCACCTGTCCGTCCGTCCCGGTCCGTCCTCACCTTGCGCGCGGTACCATCACTCACGGAGGCACGCGCCACTCAGCCTTTCCTGGTCCCCGACTGACGAGCTGAACTGAAGGCCCCCTCGCTCTACATGGTGAAAACTTCTCGAACCGACTGACACACTGAGCCAGTGGTGTAGCATTCGCAAGCGTTCGGTCTGACCGCGGCCAATCGCTTCCGGTTTATCCAGATTATTCGCTATTTTGGTATCAGTCGGAAACATCCGGTAAACAGGTGTGCTGTGTGTATGCAAAAGAGCTGTCATCAATCGAAACGGAAAACCACTAGTAATTCATAATGTTTGAACAACGTTATGTAAACTCCGCCCCCCCCCCTCTCTTAAAAAAGTAGTAATAAAAACAACTTTTTACAGCGTCTGTTTGTGCGTATGGGAGGAGGCGAGCAGGGAAAGCGACGGGGAGTGGTCCATGGAGCTATTATTGGTCAAAAACTCCCCCTCTCCGCCTCCCTCCCCCACGGGCCCACACGGTCATCACTCTTCAGCCTGGGGAAATAAAAAAGATGGCCACCCCTTTCCCGGAACGGCTCGACCGTACATCTGCCCCCCTCTAACCCCCCCCCCCTCCCCGCGCTCCAGCCCCGCTCGGCGCCTCTCCTTCCGAATGACAAAGGACAGAGTTGTTGTCGAAGCCCTTCGGCCCCCAGTGCATCACCGTCACCGGGGCGGTGCCGGCGCGCCCAGCGGCCCCGACAGGCGTCTCCACGGCCACTGCCTGCCCGGGACTAGGCCGAGTAGAAACTACTTGGGCGCAGGATTAACATTTTCCAAGCGAGATTAGTTTGCGACTCTCCCGTATACGCTCTGACGACGGCAGGACATCACAGATGCGATAACAGGATGGCCGCCCTGTCCAACGCGTCCTCGTGGCGATGCAATCGTCTCGCTTCAAAAGTTGTTGGTGTCCCCCACCAAGTTTGCCAAGTTGCCTCTTCCGTGGCCTTCCCACCATACCCCCTCCTCTTCATCGCCCCGGGGTCCTAACGGAAGGGTGAAAAAAATATTGTAACACAATCAGCGTCAGCATATATAGTCAGTCGTCACTGCAAACGGGAGGGTGTTTTCAACTGCATTCTGGTCTATTACGCTGCTGCAAACTTTTGCGTGAGGAAAATAGAGAGGGGGAAAGTTCGGTTCCCGCAGGACTTGGAACTAGCGTACTGGATGTGAAGGGCACGCAGGGATGGCTACGGCCATGCCGGGAGGCACAGCAGTAAGCGCCTCGAGTTGGGCGTCATACTCGATAAAAACCTCGTTCCGGGCAAAGTTGGACGTCATTATACTGAACGTGAAGGATGGCTTTGGCCGAATATGACAAAGAAGATGCTCACTGCTCAGCTTCCCTTTCCCCCAATGGAACACAGGGCCCTAGCGGTCGGACGTTACTCGGTCTATAACAACGTGGAATTTATTGTCCTGCAGGCCATGAATGTGCCACCGAATAGCGGAGGTTTTTTTATAGCGGGAAGCATCTGATAAGTCCGGACCGTACGGTATTGAATGGGATGCAGCCATTGATGATGAACACGCGCGTGACGGAAGTTGTTTTCGGAACAGCTTCCGGAGCTTCCGGACCGTGCAAGTCAATGTACTCATATAAAACGATAGGATTAAAAAAAAATAAGAACCTGACGACGAGAATAGGTGAGGTATGGTCAGGTTTATTCACTGTCAAGGCCAAGTGGCCGGGCGGCCGCTTCCAGGAGAAACCGGCTGGGAACGGCGCTACCAGGTGCAGTCCGGCCCCGCCCTCGGCTGCACCCCCCCCCCCTCTCCCCCCGCACACCTTTCCGAGCCTCGCACATAAGCACGCTGTGGTCGTGGTCTGAACTAGACCTACGAAATCAAAAAAATTGTTTTGAAATTAATAATTTCGATCTATGTAATATCAAGGCTACTCTGTGGACGCGCACTTGGACTATGGTTTGGCTCCCCAAGAGGCCTACCAATCCATCATTTTTCACGTGGTCACGTCAAAAAACGAACGCTCCTCATCATCATTCTCATTAATGCAAATCACGACGAGTGACGAGATGCTACGATCTTCGGGATTTTCTTTAAGCTGCAGTGTCCCCCAGCCATGAAAATGAAATGATTCCTGACTGTTATTGTATAGTCTAAGCTTTATACTATCGCGTGCTTTTCAAACACGCCTCGTGATAGGGTAAAACGTTCCACGTGGTGGTCGTTTCGTTTCCGTTCACCCCTCCCTACTCCAGCTGTAAAGGAGCCAGCCGGCTTGGATTGCTCTAGAAGAAGGACGCGTCTAATGGACCATAGCGGTGGCCGTAGAGCGTGTGCCGTGACCTTCCCCAAGGACTCGTTGCCAGCCCCCAGCCCCCCTCCATCAAACGACACGCCCCTTTCATTTTGAAGCGCCACAAGAACAAGGTTGCCCCGAGTGGTTCCTAAATGGTTAGTGGTCAAATTGTCAGTATTCTTTCAAACTGCTTATTGCCGTTTTAGTAATGACCACTTTTTTTCTAATGAATGAAAATATTGTAAGTTGAGAGTAGCAGCAGAGCTCAGTAGTTGAACAACAGTTCCCGTCGGTTTCTGTATTCGGACCTCCTATTTGTATTTTTTCCGCAATTAAACTAGTTAAGCTGCAAATTTGTGAAATCAAACTATAGTTCCAGCTGCTGTTTTTACAATCTCTTTGAGATCCTTCCACCTTCAACACTGTGAACAAAAGAAGAAGGTTCACAGGAAAATTTTCCTTGACGCAAGGCGTAAAATTAGTTTGTAGTCGTAGACATACGTGCAGTACATATCGACTTAAAATCGATTAAAATACATTGGCGAGTAAAAATTGTGCTCTCTTAACTTTACAACTTAAATTATAATTCGAGTTTACAAAAATTTTGTACATTCACGACGGGATTTTTTAGAGTGCACCCGAGGGAAGAGTGCGATACTCTTTTGTGATAACCCAATAAAACAATTAAAACAATTACCCAATTATAATAAATTAACGATGCGGGGGTAATCATGCGCAAACAAACGCGGACACAACACAAACGCGGACACAACACAAACGCGGACACAACACAAACGCGGACACAACACAAACGCGGACACAACACAAACGCAGAGGTGCGCTTGGGTCCGGAAGGATGCTGCAGTCGCCTAAGGTCAACAGGTTTGTGTTGCGCGCGCCGCGCGCGCGGGAGACAGTAGGGGTACTGACCGGACCAACCCGACGCGTTGCCCGGCCAAAGACTGTACCAACTGTTTCAACCAGTTATTATTCTTTCAGTCTCTTATTCTTTTTTGCATAACACGCCTGTATTGTGAGCTGAGGTGCAGACTAATGATGATAGCATGAGACTTGCTAACGACAGTAAACAAAACATTCAGTTAATATGCCTTCAGTGTTTAAGCAAATGTTTCAGTGATTATTTAGACTACGCAGCTATTTAAGGAACGAAGGTATCACAAAACACAAATAACTCCACTGAAATAACATTCCTCAAACCAGTTTTGGCGAGGTCCGTGTTCGAAGCGTTTCCGAAATACAGAGATGTCGCAACTGTGGTGGGTGACGACGGGAAACTGGTAATACGATTCGTAAAAAAATACTACTTGCAATTAAAACAAATTTTGTCGTGTCATAGCTTCGTGTGCGAAATTTATCACATAAAAATACGTTCCATTTTGTACAATCTGGTTGCACAGACGCTGTAAAGCACAGTTTCTTCAAACAAAATTATTCACAAAATGCTCCTTGGCATCTCACTTGGCATTTGTAAATTTACTTCGTAAACACAAAAACAGCTTATTGTAGTTTGAGGTATCATCCAGAAAGTACGTCCGGCATTTATCGCAACAAAACGACCTAGTTAAGCTTATGCCAAGCTCTTGTAGCGCCTGATAGTTAGGCAACATTGTACATGCATTGCATGCATGTACTGCGGGATGGCCTACCCTTAGTCTCACAGGCGCTAAAATCCCGAACTTTGCTGAATGGATATGAAAAAACGGACGTACCTTAAGGGCGATTTAAAATGATGACACACTGTTAAAGTCTTACGAAGAAAAATGCCAAATCCTTTGTAATACAAAGGATTTGGACGCTTCGTAGGGAGCAAATCCTTCGTAGGTACGAAGCATTTGGCATTTTGCTTCGTAAGACTTTAACTGTGCAAGCAACACCTTGAAAAATATTCCGAGGATTTATGGAGCACAATGATTTTGATGAAAATGGTTATTGTAAAACAATGAACTCATGATTAAAAACTGTAAGATTCTCCTGACCCGGTAAGTGAACGTAGATTGCATCGAATTGAATGCGCTGTGCTTTCATGAGCTTACGCCATTGGTTGTGCATCAGAAATAACGAATTCTGTTAATTTACACTTTTGACACTTTCCAATCAATCACTGCTTGCCATCGGTCGGCCACCGCAAATGCCGGAGTCTTCCTACTTACAAGAGGGCGGCACGCGTCATGCTGCTCCTGAGAGCTGGACCCGGTGCTGCTGCAGGTCGGCCGCGAGGCGGTCAAAGTCAAGTCCACTCGGCGAGTGAGTCGGCCGCTTCGATTCCGCTCTCGCTATCCACACACGCTTACACGCGCCAATGCACCCGCACACACACACTCACTCACACACACACACCGGAGGGCACGAGCGCGCACACAAACACACCCGGTCCGACCGCGGCTGCCCGCCCGGCTTGCTTCGCCTGCTACGACAACCCGTCCGGTCCAGGACGATCGGCCAGCGCCGCCACCGCCCCGGCGGGCCCCCGCCACGCCCCGCCACGCCCCGCCACACCACGCCCCGCCACGCCCCTACTCCTCCTCCTCCAAGCAGCCGGCCAGACAGCGATACGGTTTCAATGTCAAGATCCCCCCAGCCTGGCCGGCCGGCCGCTGCCAGCCGCGCGAGCCGCGCGACTCCGGCGCGGAGGGAGAGGGAGGCAGCCGCTCGGGAGGGGACGAGACAGCTTCTCCCCTTCCTCTCGGACAATGACTCCCCCACCCTGTTCCTCCTCCTCTCCCTCCACCGGCGTGCTCTTCCTCTATAACTCCAGCCTGCATGCAGGTGCATCAACCTCATCAAGAGAGCGAGCGTCGTGGCGGGAAATTATTATGCAGGCAAAAGGCGGTTTTATACTCTTTGATGATTGCCCTGCTCAGCCGCCACGCAGGTCCTGTCACCGGCCGCCGGCCCGGACCACAGCGCCGGCCTGCAGCACGCGCTGATCCACGTCGCAGAGGCTGATGGTGGGGGACCGTGCACAAAATTACACGGATGTGTCAAGAGTGCAACCGGCGTGTTCAACCACAACAACCAACCGGCGTCTGGAAGTTGAAATTTGCATAAAGTGTCCTCCCACACTATTTTTTATTTTTTTGAACCCTTGCATAAAGTGCTTTTTTATTCCACATATCCACACCGGTGGATCATCCCGTGAAGTAACCGTTCGTCTCGAAACTCTCGTTCAGCCTGGGCAAGCTCCCTCGGCGCCTGGCAGATAGGCAACATCTTGTCTGCAGGGCACGTGTGTACTACGGGTTGGCCTATCCTAGATCTCACAGGCGCCTGATTCCCGAAATCTTTCGGGTGAATCTGACGACAGCGGTACATTTGAACGAGCCCTTTTCTGAAAGTGTTCGACTCTTACTCGGTCAATTAAAAAGCAATACGAGGTTTTAAAGGAAAACATATTATCACACAGCGGGATAGGTGGTTGATTATTCATATTCCGGACGCATATATACTATGTTTATAAGTAGAAAAGCGAGTCATGCTCAAGTTTGATTGCCAGCGGAACGGCAGAGTCACGCAGCTGTTGCCGGAGTGCCGATACGGTCGCGCGCGCCGCCGCGGGCCCACCGCTCTGGTATGAGAAGATAGCCGCGCACCTCGTCAAGTGTCCCCAAAATTGCACAAGTTGCTCAATTCTGCATAACAAAAGAGCTCCCGAATCGCATTTTCCTGTCCATACAGCACCGCCTGCCCCCGCGACCCAGGGGGGGGGGGACTCGTAGCCGCAAACAGCACAACTCTTGAAGTCCTCTGCAACTCGAACCGAACTCATCGGGATCAATCGCCTTGGAATCATCCAGGCCATCCATCAGTATCTTGACCCCACTACAGCGTACACTTCTACGCACCCTTTTTTGTTTCAGGTAAATTTTTCCTTGTTTCAAGTGCACGCTGACACGAGATCTAAGTTTACTCTTGGAACATGCTGATATTTTCTTTCGAATGAGAGAAAAATCTTATTCCAAAGACAAAATTGCCTTGTTTCAATGGTAAATTTCATCTTGTCAGCTTGCACTTGAATCAAGAAACTATTTTTCTGGGTGTGAAGGCAAAACACAAGTTACGTAAGAGATTCTCGGTGAAATGTTTATGGACCGATAAGTCATCGACGGCCACCGGATCTAGTCGCGGGTCGTCATCACACGGTGAAAAGGGGGCCTTGAACTTCAAGAACAATTTGATGGAGAATGCCAGTGACATCCAAGACCAAGTCTTTCAAATTCAAGGAACTTCTTTTTTTGCCGTGCACAAGGATGCAGCATTTGACTGCTCGCTGAACTTCTACTAAGACCATTACGGAAGAGAACTCAAAGTCCACTGAATATTCCAGGCGAGCACGTGTGTCTCCCGAAATAAAAAGATCATGAAGATAGAGGGAGGAGGAGGGGGGAGCCCCTGAATGCTCAAGCTGGGAAATATGGAGGCGAAGCGGGCAGGCGGTTCTTGACACGTGACTTGAGCGAAGTGCTGCCTGCGGATGCTCCTCCGAGGATGCATCGCAGGCGATTGCAGATCTGCAGCACGTGCAGCACACGGCGGATCCACCGGATGACTCTTAGAAGATGACCCGCGGATGACCGTTGTAAGACCAGTCGCCGCGGACCCTGCCCCAAGATGGAGCACCAACAACGCGCGTGTTTTTCCGGCGCCTTTTCATTTTGTTTTTTTTTTCCTACCCGGGAGAACGTGCGCCACGTAAAAATAGATGTGGCATGCGCTGAAAAGTACGGATTAAAAAAATGATAGCATATGCTCGTTAGATTACCAGGCTAAATGTGTATATATTTGCGAGCAACGAGCAGTAAAATTATTTCATTTGACGATTCAAAAAGTAATTGAGTGCACATTTTTTTTAAAAAAAAAAGGTCACGACGAAGCAAAATGTGCGGAATGAGTCCTGATACTACACGGATAATTCTCCGTCTCCATTCCTTCTCATTTCCTGTTATAAGAATTAATAATTCACAAAAGGCTGACGAAACAATTGCTTTTGTTCGCCATTTTGGCAAGTCGCTGGTCATGCTTCAGGGTTCCCTGTTATACCCTCTGTAGGAAGAAAGGTAAAGGCTTGGGGCGTTTCAAAGGTAGCACGAGGGCGAAGGAAGAAGAAGGTCAGGGGGAGGGGTATGAGGAGCCCGACTGGCCAGTCCGTATTCCAGTCAAAGGGCTCAAAGCCTACTCAGAGCCGGGCTGTGCAGCACAAAACGATCGTCTTCCAAACGGCGAGCTCGAGGTAGCCTGAGGTAGCGTCGATAGCCAGCCCGAGCGGGCCAACAAAATAAATCAGAGTGTGCGAAGCGCGAAAAGCAAAAATTCGTTTCATTGTATAGACTTTATGGAACGGGAAAGAAAGGGCGCTTACCAAGCAAAGAAATGAGAGACCGGCACTCGTCTTAATGTCGCTTTATTTCAGGTATTTCATGTCTGAGAAGTCTTTCACAGGACTCCGGTGTCTTTGAAAGCGTTTAAACAATTATTCGCAAACGCAACTGCACCCCCACCACCGCGCCCTCCCCTGTTGCTGTCACTCGGAGGCACCCATGATGGGGTCAAACTACATGACGTAATTTGAAAGCCCGTACCGTTTTCCCGGCCGCGCGCTTCCAACGATTTTTCAGTCAGGCCTCGTTATCGGTAGCCCCGGGGCGGCGGCGTCGTCAGCTGTCAGCAGGAGGGCCAGCAGCAGCGGGCTAGCAGTTCCGCCACGTGCAGAGGTAGGGCCGGTCGGCGGAAGGGCAGCGGAACCTGCGTAGCAGCGGGCCCCACTCGGACTTGTTGCCCTCCGGCTCCAGCAGGTTGTTCCACAGCCCGTTGGCCGCTGCGGAGCGAAGCGCGGACAATGATTAAGGGAACGCCACACCACCACGCAGGAGGGAAAATAATGCGAGGAAAATTCGACACGGCCGAGATAAGCCGAGGATAAAAAGGGCCTGTTAAGAGTTTGATCGCGACTCACTTGAGGCAAAATAATGCGTCCAGAGTACATCATAATAATTGGATAATAAGATGGTGATTTTTCAAAATGTCTTTTTTCAACTAAGCCGAATAA